ATCTTATTGTTATAATTTTTATATCAAACATCTAAAACTTTTAAAAGTCATTGCACATTCATGATTTTTGAACCGTAGTGTCGACAATAATCTGTTAGGTTGGCAGGTTGGTCAATTGGTTACTTGGTTCGGTTGGTTTGTTGGTTCGGTTGGTTAGTTGGTTCGGTTGGTTTGGTTGGTTTGTTGGTTCGGTTGGTTTGTTGGTTCGGTTTGTTTGTTGGTTCGGTTGGTTTGTTGGTTCGGTTGGTTTGTTGGTTCGGTTGGTTTGTTGGTTCGGTTGGTTTGTTGGTTCGGTTGGTTTGCTGGTTCGGTTGGTTTGTTGGTTCGGTTGGTTTGTTGATCAGTAGGTTCGTTTGTCAGGCTCCTTAACTCGGACACAAATAATCATGTTAACTGAAATATTTCAAACCTGCAATAAAATGCCGGTAAAGTAAAAATAAAAATATTATTGAAAGCTGTTAATAATGAATCTTACTAGTTTTTCGCTTCGTGGTGATAGGGAGTGATTAAGGATTGGAGGGTTTGATGGAATAGTTCAAATTATTTGAAAATACTTCTGAAAATATAAATCCGGTTGTTTAAGTGGAATTTACTATGGCTTGCAAAGTTATTTGTGGATTTGATCTTTCACTTAGTAAAACGTTTTCCTGTTTGCTATTTTCCTTTTGTCGGAGAGTAAAGATAATTTGAACGGAGACTTGCTTTGGTTTGGAACTTCTCCGAGAGGGGTTTTGGTAAAGACGACTTACAGGAGGGGGGGGGGGGGGGGGGGGGTAGAAGTTGCATATATGGTCAACGAGGATGCATAAAAAATTTCACACTACTGGACGTTTCTTCAACATTAGTAATTTTTATAATTTATCTTGAGATCGGAATTTTTTTGTGGAGTATCGTTAATCCTGAACACCTGATCTTGATATCCAATATGAGCTTTTTTACATTTTAGGATCAATACTTGCTCCTTTAATTCAAGTTATTCCTGCGAGGTATTACCACCCTTTTATAAAGTAGAGGAATTAAAATAATCCGTTGATTGCATAATATGGATAACACTTTATACTGAGATTCAAACAATGCAAATCCTGGAATTATGATTTTATGGCCTTGTTACAGATGAAAGGAGCTATGTTTGTCCTATCTTTGATATTTTTACTTTATAACAGTAAAACAAAACAAAATGTCAAGGAATCTGTGATTTTGAAGTTTTGTAAAAAAAAGTTGAAAGAAGTTTCTGATTAAGGTTTCTAGAGTATTTATTCGGAAATTCTTTGTTATCCTTTGATCCCGCTTTGTTCTTCAGAATGACAAATAGATTAATCAGTTTCAAGTGTTTCTCGTTATTCTTAGTTGTAATCAGAGATTGTTGTTTGTCACTTTTTCCAGCCTAAAATTCGATATTTATGCGAAGGGCACATGACATTTTAAATAATATTTACATAAAAGATATTTCGTGCTATTATTCCGTAGAAAAATGTGAGGATGTTTCTGTCTTCTTTTTATCTTTTTTTATAACCCAACTATACCAACACTCTACACTCTACACTCTACACTCTACTCCAATAGATAAAGACCTCCCCTCATTTTAGGAAATTGAGCAATTTTAAGTAATCATGGTGAAACTGAATTTAGCCCTGGATTGAAACCTCTCACGCCCTCACCAACCCATATTTCTTGAATATAGATAATTCACGCCAGTTTATTTAATTAGAATTTGATAAAATAATTAGATAGGATCAGTCATATTAAAATGGAAAGATTTTTGGAACAGTTGTGGAAATTTATTTAGAACAAAAATTGATATAGACATGTTGTTTCAAAATATTATCTTTTATTAATTTTTGCACATTTTTCAAATCTATGTAACATTTCTGATTATTAGAGTTATGAAGCACAAAAATTAAAGAAGTCAATACAGTTTAAAATTTGAAATTTAAAAATGTCCAAGTTTTATTAATTGAACCATTATGAGTGCTGTAATGCCTAAAATATCGTTTTTTTGGGACACTCGAACTTTCAGACATTTTCTTACCCCTGAGGTTTGAGTTAGGAAGTTGCAAAGATTTTAAAAATATAAAAATGATTATTTTAATATTACAAGTTTTGTGCTCTGGGGGTAAAATAAAATGTTCACTATTTTTGATATTCAAGTCTGTCCCGTTTTATTCAGAATGGTGCCCTTTACAGGATTTTAATACTTGAAGGTTTTGGTCACAAATCCCTTAAGTTTTGCAACCTGATAGTGTGTGTATGTCAAACTAATATTATTTGTTCTAACAGGATTCAAAGTTTTAAATATCTAAAGTCTACGAAAAATTGGGTTGCAAAGAGTCTGTGACAAAAACTCAATCTGATTTCTCATTGATCAAAACGTAGGATTTAACTAATAAGAATTCGTTTTATCAGAAGAGAATGGATTTAAAGTTTAAAATTGTCTGGTTTTACCTTGAAATTGTTTTTTTGAAATAGTACATGTCTTACTCACAGAAAGTAAAACTTCAGAGACAACTGTACGAAACTTATACTGTTTCCTTACATTCATGATTCCCTGCAACTGTGTCTTTCTTTATCAAATTATTAAACAAATAATTATAAGAAACCATTCAAAACAAAAGAATTCTTGAAATCATCATATTAAAAGCACTTCAAGTTGTTTTACAGTCTTATTCGTTGTGGGTTACCCTGTACAGTCTCATTCGTTGTGGGTTACCCTGTACAGTCTCATTCGTTGTGGGTAACCTTGTACAGTCTCATTCGTTGTGGGTTACCCTGTACAGTCTCATTCGTTGTGGGTTACCCTGTACAGACTCATTCGTTGTGGGTTACCCTGTACAGACTCATTCGTTGTGGGTAACCTTGTACAGTCTCATTCGTTGTGAGTTACCCTGTACAGTCTCATTCGTTGTGGGTAACCCTGTACAGTCTCATTCGTTGTAGGTCACCCTGTACAGTCTCATTCGTTGTGGGTTAGCCTGTACAGTCTCATTCGTTGTGGGTAACCCTGTACGTTCGATCAAATTGAAATCTCATGTAAAAATGCTTTGACACGTTTTCTCCTCTTTTCTCTGTTTTGTAAGAACTTTATCCGATATACTTCTGAAAATGCGCCTATGGCTGCAGAATTGATATTATTGAGCTTTCTTAAAAATTTCTAATTATATGCTTATAAAAGAATGCCGCGTATTAAAATAACGATTTCTATAATCCCTTCCACGTTTTCATTGCTACTTCCTATCTGCAGATTAATATTTCCTTTATCTGAATGTTTTAAAGTTTTCTTGAATATTGCTACTGGGTCTGGTTTTACTCAACTTTCTCTACCTCGCTATTGAAATCCCCCTTTTTAATTAGGATTATGGTTCAAACTTAATTTTCGTCTGAACCAGTTTTATTATTTTAGCCCCTGAATTAATCCTGAATAATTTGGAAAGTTTCACGTTCAAGATTAAAAGAGATTAATTCAGTGTAAAGGCGAAGTGGGTCGGAACGAAGTGTAAATATGGAAGAATGTTACAGAGAAGATTAAAAATGTTTTCAAAGAAAATATTTTTTGAATTATGAAAAATTTAAACAAAAGATCTTTACCAAGAATATTTAAGATCTGATGAAAAGTAGAACTTAGGAAAACAGGAGAGAAAAGGAGAAAAACGGAGAAAAATTAGAAAACAGGAGAGAACAGGAGGAACAAAACAAATTAGACGAAAACAGGAGAAAACGTTAGAAAACACGAGATGACAAGGAAAAGACGGGGAAATGTAGAAAACTGAAGAGAACACGAGAAAACAGGAGAATGATGGAGAAAATAAGTAAAAAGAAAAGAGAAAACAGGAGAAAACAGAAGAAAATAGGATAAAACAGGAGAAGACAGGAGATCACAGGAGAAAACAGGAGAAATCACGGGGAAACCTGGAGAAAAAAGGAGAAAGCAGGCGAAAAAAGATTATTGTAGAGAGAAAAGGGAGGAAACGGAAGAAAAAAGAGACGTAACACGAGAAAAGGGGAGAAAAAATGAGCACTCAGGAGAAAACTGGAAACCACTATCTTTATCTTTCTATCTGTCTATCTATACATCTATCTTATACCATATTTTAAACAAAATTGTAGGGAATATAATTTTATTATAAAACTCCAAATATTCAACATGGAAAAGGTGAAACATGTATTTTGAAGTCTAAATTTTAAGACAAGTATCAGTTGAAGTTGCAACTTTATACGAAACCGGTTTTATTGTGTTTGTTTTCAATAAAAACGACTGTATTATAGGTTCAGGTTAGGAAACAAGTAAAAATATAATATTTTTCTTTAATAATTGCACAATGTACAGTAATATTAGATCTTAAAGTATAGATCGTATTACATTAGATAAGTTTAAATTTAAAGTATTTTTGGCAAGAAACTGTGAAAAATACATAAATATTGAAATAAATAGAAATATTAAAAATTGGATGATACATAAAATAAAAGAATCGAATCGCCTTGTTGTTTTTTCATTTTGAAATAATCCTAATAATTATCTATAATTTATGCTATCACTAAATGTAACTTAATCATAGGACACACGATTTCTCGTTATAAAAATATTTAAGTTTAGTGATGCAGAATTCAGACAATTGTTGTTAGAAAATCAAATTTATGATGTTTGATTTGAATATAATCCTGAAGCAAAAAAAGCACAAAAAGATCTTAGCTTTGGGCTTTGCACGTACATGTTAATATTATTAGGTATAGAAATTATCCTTTACAAACATACTAAAAACTTTCCTACAAATGTGAAAACAAGATCTTTCAGTTTCTTTTACAATTTGAATAAAAGAGTGAAAATATTATTTTCAAATATTTGGCGTAACATTTGTTCCTGCAACAATGCGTAGATTTACAAATGATCTGGAATAATGCGTATATTAGCACGAATTCACAGGTTTGTCATTGTCATTTTTTGCTTAGATATCATACAGATAATAGTTCATACATTGGCAAAAACAAGAAACAAGGATATTGTCTTCTAAAAGGGTAGGGTTATTTCTAATGGGGGGGGGGGGTAGTCCTTTTGCTCAGTGTTTAAAATAGGAAGAGAGGGGAAGGGGGGGTTATCGTGTATAAAGACATTAAATATTTCACAAGGCGTGAGGATTAACAATTATTCAAGATTTCACAACATTGTAGAAATTCACATGGAACACGCAGTACTTGTCGAACAGTGTTAAACTGAGACCTGGAGAACAGTGTTAAACTAGGGCCGGGAGAACAGTATTAAACTAAGACCTGGAGAACAGTGTTAAACTAGGACCTGGAGAACAGTGGTTAACTAGGACCATGAGAACAGTTTGAAACTAGTACCAGGATACCAGTGGTTAACTAGGGCCAGGAGAACGTGTCGGAGAACGTGTCTGTAGGACCTGGAAAAAAGTGTGTTCTTACATATCTGAACTGTTCTTTGTATCCCTGTATACCCAGGATGGAACACAATCTGATGTACAACCAATCATATGATCCTCACTAACTACATGATCAAAGCATGTTGTTAGAACAACATGAGCCTGACATGCTGCAACCCTTTTACCCAGGATCTCAGTCTCTCTCTGAAAGGCTTCAAGGAAGGTTGGGTCGGTTTGATCTAATCCTGACTCCTGAGTATGTAGATCATAGCTCCAGCGTTTTTGATCAACATTTATCCGTTCCTTAGCAGAAGATAATTCAACCTTGAGCTGTTCCTGCTGTTTTTGTAATCTCTTTATCTCCTGAAACCTCCAGAGGGAGTCAAGACGGGAAACAAAGGTTTTGTCATACTCCAGGATTGGTAGAGGAGAAGCCGTTCTTTTAGGGCTCAGGGTTTCATAGGTATGGTTTAAAGTTCCTTGATATGAATGCAAACTCTCTCTTTCACTCTCTAGTCCTATGCTTTCGTACCCAGAACTCCGACAATTAGCACGAGAGAGTTTCTGAGTGAACTCTATATTCTGAAGATTGGCACCCTTTCCCCGTACTCGAGGGGTTACGTCTATACCTGAGTCGTATCCGCTCAGTTCACTTCCAGGTTCGGAGTTAGGTTTAGTTCCTGCTCCAGGTAGTTTGACTAGATTCACTCCTTGATTTTTAGTCTTCTTCATTCCCTTAAATAGTCCTCGAGATTTTTTCTTTTCAGAAGAGGGCTCGGAGGAAAGGGTGCCTTTCACGTTTTTTGACTCCTTACATGGGTTCACTTTGGGTTTCTTTAAACTTCCGTCACTACATTTTATTATGATTAATGGACTTTTGGACTTTTTGTTGGAAGTTTCTGGGGGGTTGATGTTACACGGAGTTTTAAGTTTATGTTTACTTGTCTTAGATCTCACTTTGTCTTCATTAGATTTATTTGGTTGGCTGGGACTCCGGGATATTTTTCTTGTACTCCCGAATAATCTACTAAACTTGGGAACTTTAACTTTTTCCTCTGGTTTGACAAGGTCCTTCACAGGCTTAACCGGGGTTTCCGCAGTAAATCCCTTTTCTTCAGACTTTTTACAAACATCAGACACTGTGTTCACAGGTAATTGATTAACCTCCACGCTTCTTTGGTTCTCTGGGGTTCGAGATATCGGAGTTTCCTCCATATCCGATCCCGAGCTGGACCTACCATTCCCTGGAGACCTTTCCGCTAAGGAGCCAATCCATGGAAAACCTGGCTTTTCAATGGTCACAGAATTTAAATCCATTCTTCGATTCTCGGTCCGTTCAAACCTTGATCCAGGTCCTGGGGGAGATGGGTTGGCTTCTCCGGGGTTGGGTTTACACAATGCAGGGTTGGAATTAGGGGGAGAATGGTTTGCAACTCCGGGTTGTGGTTTAGGCACAGGATCCGCTTGTTGGTTCAAGTCCGGGTTACTTGATCCGTCCGGGTGGCGGAGTGAGGATAATCGATCCGTAATATCACATAAATCCTGGTTCACTGGATTATAGGCCTGCTCCAGATCCCGGAGTTTTGCATACTTAGCTAACTCAGAGTCTATTCCTTCCAGTATTGGAGAATCGCACCTTTCTTGTAGATCTCTAGACTCAATATTAAGTTCCATTATACTCTCCTCCCCCTCTCCCCCAGGTAAGGAGGACAGGGTCAGGGTATTCTTTACCCCGGAGAAACTACAGAGATCAAGGATATTGAGAGATAGTGTTGAGTTCTTATTAATATCTACATAGGGGCTACAGCTTAGCCAGGCAGGTTCAGAGCAAAGACTGTGTAAATCATCAGATACGGAGGAGTGGGATGAATTGTCTGTTAGAAGAGCTGAGAGCGAGGTACTCGTCCGTCTCCTTTCTAGGCTTTGTTCTCTCCACTTATCGTTCTCTAACCTAGATTGGCATTTGGCACTTATTGAGGATACACTCTGGTAAAGTTGGTGGAGTTTAGCGAGCTGATCAAACTTTTTATTAAAAAATTCTTCATGATTTGATCCACCGACATCCTCACATACCCCCTGCAGTTCAAGGATATCCATCCCACCATACATCGCATTCATTCGGGGAACCTCCTGCTCCATCTCCTCGTCCCTCATCTCATCCTCGCTCTGCTCGTTCAGGTTCTCCAAAGCTCCGGGATAGAAGACGGATCCCTTGGGATGGTTTAGCTCGGAGAGGTTTGCAATGATCTCCTCCTCTGAAACCTGGCAGGATCTATCTACTACCTGGAGACAATATATCCGTCTACCAAAAGCAAATATAAAAGAAGTTAAATGAAAGACTTCATATTTTCTGAAGTTAATATCTAGAAAAGTTAAAGACAAAATGGATAATAAAAATCATTACGAGGATATATAGGAGAGAGGAAACTTTTTATTTTTTAATAAAACAGAGAAAAATGGTGGAAAATGAGAAAATATTGGGATAAAGCACGAGATTTTAAATTAATCCTGGATTCAATATAAACCCTAGTTCGTAAAAGATGAAAACCCATTCTATAAACTTGATCCCCAGCTTCTTCTTAAATCCTTATAATCTTAAAACTTCATCTTTATTTCCACATCAGCTACAGAACCTCTTTTTACTGTACAGTGAGACTCATAAAACTGTGGAAAAAAAGACGACTATAAATTTTGACTTTAGACAATCCAAAGCACGTGAGGTACAGCAATTGTAAAGTATTCACATTTCATCTAATAATCTGATTTTTAAGTGACTGGTAAAACTATTTGTTTTATAACAATATAAACATAAGATTGCTTGAATATTCCTATTCCACAGTTTTATGGGTTTAGATTCTCCCCGTCTCAACACTTTCCCGCGTTTTTTTCAATTTCCCCCCCGGTTTTCTTGCAAATCCTTATAATTACGGGGTTGAAAAATATTCTATGACGGGAAGGTGAAGTATGTTTCATTTCCGCCGGTGTCGCTAATACAGGAAAAAATAGATTTGCAGGCAGCAATTATTCTACAAAGACCGCCATCATGTTTTCAGGAAATTTTTTCAAAAGTGAAAACATCAAGAAAACATGCAATCTTATTCTTCAATATTTTAACTTCAATTTCCCCTCCTTCTACCCCTCCTCTCTTTAATCCCTTTGTAGTTTCCAACGTATTAAAGGGACTGTAAGCATATTTTCAAGTGGTATGTCCCATTTACAACGATACCAACTAAAGCTTAGTCTGAGGAAAAGTAAAGAAGATATTTTGGAATTTGATAAATTTCAAATGAAAAGATGGCTCGTGATATTAAAGAGTACTGTTGTTAATCGGGTATGCTACTTTTTATATGGGGGATCACTTGCTCGGGGGGGGGGGTGAATGACTTCCTGCCCCCCCCCTTGTGTAAAATAAAACTAGAAACATTTTTGAAATAATACTCTTCATTTGGGAGATAACTTGAAATTATATGACAGTCCCTGTAAGGGGGTAGGATGGGGAGATGACTTCCTGCCCCCCCCCCTGTTTAAAAACTAATAAAAAATCCCTGGGCCGGATATTTCTTGTATTGTAAAGCCGTATTGCCTATAATGGAGGCTAGTGCTTGGATTTAATATTGGTTTAGAGGACGGATATATTTCCTCTATAGATCCCTCACTTCCTTCAGATACTTCATACACCTCAATATCATCTATAGCAGGGTCGGGTTCAGGATACTCAGGGTACTCGAGGTCTGGTTCGGGGTACTCTGGGTCGGGTTCAGGATCGTGTATTGTCAGGTACTGAAGAGAATCACGGGATTCAGAGTTTTGGCACTGTACTCGGTATTCCTCACTCGCCTACAACAATTTAACCATTCATTTATATAAAATTCATTATGATTTTCAATACGGAAAATATTTCTCAAACCAACGAAATTTACAAAAAAAAACCCGGTTTTTTCCGCCAAAAGTATCGGCTCATTTTGTCATTCAGTCCAAAAATTGGCGCATTATATTATTTAGAATATTTTGACGAATTTATTTTGTAATTGACCTAATTACAATTATATTTTATATTCATGTTTAATAAATTATTTTGTTTATCGATCAAAATATCTATTCACGCATTTATCCAAATCTATAAAGTTTGCTATTCATCTTCAAGGAATTAATTCTTTACAACAAACTCTGATTTTATAATCAATGCATGTTTTTTAACCTAATGTCTTATACCTTAAAATTATAATTCTGGTAGATCAAATAATCCAAGTTTGAAATATCAAAGGTTTACTCCATCAGGTTGCAAAGATATAGGGATTAGAAAATTTGAGTTTGTGGCTAATACTCAATTCCTTTCATGGTATTGTAGTTTTAATTTGAATCTATTCATTAATTTATCTTGAATTAAATATCTTCTCTGAACTGTTCCCCCTCTCTATTCTCTACTCAGATGACCCAATGTTATTCATCTTGAAAACTTTGCCAATTCATCCCATTTTCTAATCAAATTACCAGGGGTAGATAGATAGATAGATAGATGGATAGATGGATAGATGGATAGATGGATAGATGGTTGGTATATCGGTAAATAGATAAACCAATGTTTATTCAGGGTTTGGATAGATGGTTAGAAAGCTAGAAGGTTTGAGGAGGGGAGACTTGATATTTGAGAAGTTTCAGAAAAATAGATAATATACTAATATAAAGTTCTAAAGATGATTTAGACAGATCTAACATAGGGTAAAGATGGATCACATGTTGATGGTTTTAAAGTATTTTTTTAGAAAGATCGATGGTCTAATGTTTACTTTTTATTCAAAACATATTTCATCCTTAATAAAAATTGATTCCAAAATGGATTCCTTGTTGAATTATAAGATGGATTCCAAAATGGATTCCTAGTTGAATTTCAAGATGGATTCCAAAGTGGATTTCTTGATAAAAAAATTTAACTTAAATTTTCTAATCCCTATATCTTTGCAACCTGATGGTTAAACCATTTGATGTCTTAAATTTAGACTGTTTATAAATTCCTTGAAAAAGGAATTGAGTCTTTGCCACAAACTAAAATTTTCTCATCCCTATATCTTTTTAACCTGATGGTGTAGACTTTTGATATTTCAAACTTAGATAATTTGATCTATCGGAATTCCTAGTTTGAAGTATCTAAGGTCTACGAAAAAAGGGTTCCCTTGATGATTCTCAAGAGACTCCAATTCAAGAGATTCCAAATGCTTTAAAAACTAAATATTAAGTTTGAATTATATAATTTCAAAGATTGAATAAAGTGAAACAAATTAAAAAATTAATTCTGGAAGATGTTGTTTTGATTTCTAATTTATCAAACTAAAGATTAAATTCTGAGACGTCTCAATTTAATCTTATTTCCCGGAGTTGGTTTCCAATTCCATCTTGGTTTAGAATAAGAGTTCTAAAGGATGGGTTCAAAGTGCTGGCTCTGCGGTGAACTTTCCCTTCCAGGGTTAACAGGAAAATAAGATATAGAATAACGGATGGGTGGTTGGATTAATGGATGGATAGAGAGATGAATAATAGATTATGGAGCTATAAATACGTCGAAAAAAAACAACAAAGAAAATAGAAAAAAATAGTTTTAATGAATGAGACCTGTTTTTTCTTTACCTGTGATAATGTTTCCACGAGTTGCTCACAGTGCGAATATAGTTCATCTAGGGTTCGGATACTCTCCTGCTCATCCCTTGTCTCAGAGCTAGGGTCTGGCATCAGGGACTCCCTGAGATTAGAAACCTTAATTATCCATCCCTACTCATCACTTCTACACTTCTACAGCTGGAAAACTTTTACAAACTTTATAGTATATTTTACACCCAGAACATTTATTCCAAGAAACTGTGATCCTTCCTCCTTCTCCCCCCCTCATTACATTACCCTTGAAAATGATTCTTAGTCCCTCCCCCCCCCCATTATATGTTTACGTTAATTATGTTTTAAGAAAGAATAATTTTAACTTTTTTCATATTAATTATTTTTCAGAAGCGTTCATTCAATGGAATTTTAAAGGAGATAATCAAAATCAAATATTTCTTGAAAATAATTGTTTGAAGGAAGAAGGATATATTTACATAAAAATGTGCCGAAGGACCAGGTAAAGCGAGGGGGGGTTGCAATTAATTATATTATTCTATTTACATATTCTTTTATATCAAAATATATATTAATATATAATGGTATCTATCTAATCTTATTTAATCCTAAATAAATCCCAACATTGTTATCATGGTTTCTTTTATCTTTCAATTGTATATTTAGGAATTGTTTATTATTAGATATTCAGTTTTTAAATTTGTTAGTTATATCTGTTTTTCTGTCTGCTTGGATATTAACTTATGAACCCATACACGGATTAGTTGGGGAGCTCAGTTGAGCCATGGGATGGTGCTTAGCTTGGTTTAAAAGTTCTTTGTTGAGAAAACTCAGTTACAAGGCAAAGGTTGGTTCCTACGCTACAATATAATCATGTCTATTCTATTCTAAAATTATGTTAAATATAGGTAAATAAAGATAATAATTTTACTGATAATGATGATACCTTCTTAATGGTACTTTTCTCTGAGCTCTGTATGGATCTTGTGCTACAACTCCTCTTCTAGGAGCATTTGCTCCCATGGGAACACCTCCGGAGTTTGCTAGAGGAGCAACGACACTGTTTGCTTTCGGAGCAGGTTTGTTTACTCGAGCATATATTGTTTTGTCTCCAGGGCCATCTTAATATTCAATATATTTGTAACTTGTTAAAAATCTTTTGAAAGTATGTTTTTCGATAAATTTGTCGATTTCATTAAGATCATCATGAAACAGGAATAATTAGTTTTTGTTTGCAGAGATTTAATAAATAATTCAAGATTAAACTTTAAGCTTATTTAATTTTCAATAAAGTCATCATAGTTCTTACACTTTAAGAATTTAAAGACTGGTATTCTTAACCCTATTCCTGCTGGGGGGGGGGGGCAATTTTATCCCCCTGTAGTTTTTTTTTTCAAAACTCAAAAAGTCTTGGTCTGAGGCTGTTGAAATTTCCTAACTTTTCCTAAATACCCATAGCCGGCCTCCCTTTCAGGTTTAAAACCTGTATTTTTACTAATTGCCTATTTGTAACAAACTAAATCTTTGTTTTGACCCACTTTCAGGTGTCAATTTTTGATAATTTTCTTGGTTTTTGGAAAGCCTATGATATAAGGAAACGGTGCAGTCCTGTTTTGAAAATTATTTGCATACAACCCGTCAAAAGAAATTTTCACATTTTTAGTTTTTCTGAATTACACATCAGGGTATTTAAAATTTTGCTAAATTGTTTGCATACTTGAAATGCCATGGTCAAGGGCTCTTCAAATATATATATTTTATCATTCTTTGGATATTTTTTATGGAAGCATGTTTAATACAGTCATAATCAGAAAGACCCGGAATTAATTGACAGTTAATCTGGCAATTTTAAATGCTCAAAAAAGGCAGACCACATTTTGGAAATGGAAGGTCTAGGTATTTGTGATTATAGTTTCATCAATCATATTTGTAAAATCAGATTGTAAAATAGTCTTATTAATTGTAAAATCAGATTGTAAAATAGTCTGATTAATTGTAAATTAATTCCATAGAGCAAAAGACCTTTCCAATGATGTATCATTTGTTATTTTTTTTGGACATTAAAAATGAGATTTAGAGGGGGGCAACTTGACCCCCCTCCCAACGTATCCTGATTTTTAAGTACCTCAGCAGGAATAGGGTTAAAAGAAATAAATTTTGTATTAATACCTTAGATGTTAAAACAGAAACAAAACCGGAGGTGTTAAATAGACGCAAAGTCACAAACGAAATATTTTACCTGGGGCCGAAAGATCAGTGCTGGTTCCCATATCACTCTTTCTACTCCCCCTACTCCCCTCGCTTTCAACTTTACTCCCTCTACTCTCCACACTCTCAACCTCATGTCTTGTCTCCTCACTGCTCTCAGGAATGCGTCGGTCAAGCGCGTGCACGTTCTTATGGAGGAGGTAGGGCAGGTTGGGCTCCTGGGGGAGAATAAAGGGATTGTTCTGGTTTCTATATGGAAGGTTTGGATTCACATTTCCTTCTCCGGGGTTCGGAGAAAGGTTTTGATTCCCCGTCAGTGTTTCCGGTTCCGGGTACCTAGAGAAAAAAAGTTAAAATATCAAAAGAATATAACTCGACATGCTTTCTACAATCTTTAAGGTAAAATGTAGATAAATGAAAACTTTAAGACAGGTGTAGGGCAATATGTAAATGTCTCTCATAATTAATTTGTCCCTACCTTACTTTTTCTTAACCTAATTAACCTTACCAAAATAATATGTTATTACACAGAATTCCTTTTTGCAATGAATACACTATAGAATTCTTATTTTTGATATTTTATCTGGTCATTATTCCGTAAATAGTCTAGCAAGTAAAGGATATAAGATATCCGGCTTAAGGAGAGAACAAAATGTTGCAACGAAAAAAAGGATTTTATGCTGAATAGCAGCAAAATTATGCAAAAATTACCAGGTTGAATTGTGCATTCACTTCGTGTCATGTTGTGTCACTTAATGCAGTTTAATGCATGGAATGTTCAGGCATCATTAGGTGCAGAGTGTTCTGAACCATACCACCCAAATAGACTTTTTACCACTCAATTGTGGTTTTGATTGGGGTTAACCATGGGTATACTATGGTTTTAACTGGGCTACACATGAGATAAACCAAAACCAAGACACTGAAACTTTAAATTTTGGATAACGAAACCTGTCAGTGACACTGTAAAATACAAAAAGAAACTTCAACGAACCAAGTTTGAATACAGCTTAATTTTAACATGAAAAGAGAAAAGTGAATGAAATATCGAAGCCCAAGAGATTAATGATAAATTATGGTTTTATTACTTTAAAAATAACCATTTCAAAACCCAGTTTTTGTTTATAAATCATCCTCAAGTTCCCATCTCTAGTTCCTACCTTGACCTGAGGTTCCCATCTTCTCTGTCTCCGGAGTCTCCAGGAGAAACCTTGGACTGAGAACCTGCTCCAGGGTTGGATTGAGAGCTTGCTCCAGGGTTGGATTTAGACTTGGATGTATCCGTCCTAGTTCCGGTTTCTCGAGCAGTCTCATCCTAGACACAAATCATTGCAAGGATAAAAGTGACCCCTCATAATAAAGAAATTTCAACGATTTATTGAGAAACAAAATTGATAAAATGTAACTAAAACCTGAAAATACAGAAAGATGGGATAGGATATGAATCTGTGGAATAATGCGAGATGGGGCGGGGGGGTGTTGACCTAAGCCGTGGAAGGAGGATTATTGAAGGTTGAAATTGAAATAACAAAGAATGAAGATAAGATATGTGCGACAAATTTGAAAAAATGAGAATAGGGTGGATGCGTGGGAGAGGTGTAGGGGGGGGGGGGAGTAGGTGGTGGGATTGAATCTGTGTTAGAGATATATATAAGTCAGTACTAAGATCATGAAGGAAGAAAGATGACGAGTAAAGATGAGTAATGAGATGTGATTTAATGAGAGGTTGGTTGAAGAATATGGAGAACCAGGGCACGAATATATACAAAAACAAGAGAGGAACGGGGAGGGGAAGGGTAGGGGGGAGTAAACACAGGATAGGAGTTCAATTAGAGCAAATATCATTTATTTTGCCTACTTAAAGTTCACAACTGGAAAAAAGATTAGAATATTTGATAAACTGACATTTATTCCATAAAATTTTGTACCCAACAGTTTTTGTATTTATCCTGAATTTTCTTTGGTATTGAATCTGTCACAAATTAAGCGCCCCCGTACCCTGGAATTAGACGGACAATTTTTGAACTAGATCTTTAAGGGACTGTGAACATAATTTCAAGTGGTCCTTTATTTATGGAGTTGCATGTTCTTTATCTGCGTAAGAATGAGAAAGCTTTTGTGAATTTTTGTTGAATTAACATATTTCCTTCTTACGTATCAATCTGAGCTCAGCTGCTATAAAGCCACAAGTCACAATTAAAAAATAAACGACTTATTCATTAAAATCTCAAGGATATTAAATTCATTCTTGATCATATAAAGGGTCATTTTTTGATCGGACATGCCAATTCTTTTTAAAATTGAAATTACGTCTACAGTCCTATAAAGGTCGTTGATGAAGCTGAAAAAGTATCTATCGTATATATATATATATATATATACATCAATTTTAGCCATTTTTGAAAGGAAGCCGAAATATGGGGTTGGAATCAGGGTTGTGTTATTCAAATTAACAGAATTAAATACACTTTTTTCAAGAAAATAAGTTTGGAAGAAAATTTTTTTTTAGTCATGATTGTTGGTTACTATTATCCCCTGGTTTAATTTTGATTGATGAACATTGAACAACCGCCTCACATCTTAATATCAAATATAGGCGGGGGAAGTCAGGTTGGAGGGGGGGGAGTAGGTACCCCCCACCCCTTCTCAATAATGTTTCTTTTGTGTCCTAGTGTCATGATCTAAGCGTACGGCATTGCGGTAGGTACATTGCTTGGCAAAGAATGTAAAACGATATGAAACTGCTAGATCGTGCAAAGGTTCAGGATACATACAACTAATTCGGGATCATTACATACAAAGAAAATAATTAGCAGAGCCGCCATCTTTATTCAGCCGCCATCTTTTTTAGGCTGCCATATTTATTGGTTTCAGCTGAAATTACCATGAATGTCTCTTGTCTTTTATATTGATAATAACGCTTGAGAGTGGTCATGGGTTAATTCCATGGCTACGAGAACTTCGTACATTCAAGGGGAATGTTCACCAAATTTCAAGCGATTATGAAATTGAGGAACATACCGTCGTATGTATACCTTGTACCCGTAATTTAAAAATTATCATAATTTTTGATTATACAAAGATTTTAATATTACCGCTATAAATCCAAAATTAACTCATTAAGCAAAGGGTCAGATAAAAATTCCTCGACAGACTCTTTAGTCCACCAAAATGTACCTGGTTCTCAATATCTGAGGTAGAACTAGTTGAGGATTCCGCCATTTTGAATTGTGTAAGTATTCTGTACAGAGACCCCTATACAGTACACAGTACACAACACATGTTCAAACTTTTATTTTCGTTTTTCAAAGTTTTTAACTGAAAAAAATGTTAAATTCCCGGAAAAAGAACGTAATCTGTGATCTGTATACTACACAATAAAACAAGACATTCTTATAATGTTTCCTTTAGCCGGCCTAACGGCTGGACCGAATGGACTAAAATTTGTGTGTTCACTCATGGGAAGCCTGGGGGTGACATAGGCTAAAAAAAATCGAATTTTTTATTTACTTTTTTTTTTAATTAATAAAAGAATTTCTCACGGGCAACGCCGGGATCTTCAGCTAGTTTATATATATATCAATATCCAGTACATAACATGTAATATTTACCTGGTTATCATTGTACTGAACTGATATCACATCTTTATCACAGACTGGCACAGTATCCACCCATAACTCTTCCTTACTCACACCTAGAGTAGGTTATCATAATTTAAATGTACAAACTATGATATCGTAAATAAAATATATTGGAAAATTTTCTTCATAAACAGTTAGTAAACATGTACATTTTACAATATACAAAATGAGATGTACGTGTATATTTTTTACAAATGTATATTGTACAATTTATGTACATTGTACAAAGAACCTATAATAGTTGTACAAGCATGAATTGAAAATAAAGAAAGTGCTGACTACTGTAAAACTAAACTTTATTTTTCATTCTAGCTTTGTAGAAAAAAAAATTCTCAGAATAAACAAAAAATGTTTATTTCAGATAAAATGTTCACATGTAAAATGTAAATGAACCCAAATTTAGTAAATTTGTCATTTTTTCAATTCTTAGAATTATCAAATATGGCTTGCTGGTATTTATGTGATTTTTTATCGAACAACGCTAAACTGCAATTCATCAGATTTTGGACCCAAAAAAAACAACAAAAAATATATTCTTAATCATTAAAAGTGTTGAGTGAGAATCCCTTCTGCGGGATGATGGATGGCATTTATTCTACATTTAAGTTGCAACATCCCTTTTGTATACTGTATTAAAATATTGTAAACAAGGAGCATACTCCCAGAGCCCAAAACTTAAGACAGAGTATCGTTAGTAAAACCAGTTTTAAAACCCGGGTTTCACGAAATGGGGTTAGGCACTTTTGTGATTATCAATATTTTTGTAATGACATATTATTTCTTCAGGTTTTTTATATTATCCATTTTTTCGAATCTCTAAAATCAAAATCTACACAAAAGTAAAGACCCCAAAAAGGAAACTCGGGAGTTTTGTTCAACGACACTCTTTTAAATTTCGGCCTCAGTCTTCAAGTTAACCATGTATAAGGATGACCATGTAAAGTGAGTTGTATCGGAACTTTGTTAAATCTAGGAGCTTTTAACTCATCTGAGCGTATTTGGTATGTAAAATTTTATCTTTATTTTGTATTTCATTATTGTATTTGATATTTCTAAGATATTGTATTTTTCAGTGTATAAATAACAGAAGAATAAAGACTAGAAACCATTGGTACCAGCGCATCTGTGAGATTAGACTATGATTTCTACATTTGAAATTTGGGTTTTCCGATTTATGCTCAACAAAAAGAATACAAGATTCAACAGGCTCGAAAGTTAAAGAAAGCAGATCATAGAAATTTTTCGCTTTATAAAATGTTTTTTTTTAATTTCTCTAATTTAGAGGAATGATATGAATGTTAGATATTGCATTTTTGATTTAATGTTTGTAATTTAGTATTTGTCAAGAAGTCCTAATATACAAATATATATTTTATATTTAATTTTACCCCTCTAACCAAATTTCATGATTAAAATTCCATCTCAATCCTTTCATCCATTCATATTAATAATCGATTAATTTTAGTGTGTCCAAAAACTTGATTTTGATATTGCATTTTTTTTCATCCCGAAATAAAAACTATTTAGAATCATCAGTATTACCATTAATAGCATAGATTTGTCTAAATGATGTGCGAACAACTAATAGATACTGTTTGAGACACTGTTTAGACAATTTGACACATGTTACTATATCTAGAGATGGGGATATTCTTTATCATTTCATTGCTTAAAAATAGAGCAACGAAAAAAAATATTTAAAAAGTTTCTTTGCTCAGCAAGATAATTTTTACTCACCCAACTTTTGAAAACAAAAAACGTATTGTATTTAATACTAGCTGAAGGGCCCGGCGTTGCCAGTGGAAAAAAAAAGATAAAATGTCGAAAAAAAAATAAAAGTTTGAGGAAAAAAATTTTGAACTTACTTTAGCCTATGTCACCCCCAGGCTACTCATGAAATATTTCAGCCCATTCTTTAAAAGTATAGATATGCTGTATCGTATTTGTGTTACGTTTTGGTGATTTCAAATCGATGCCCATCTGTAGAACATTTAATAGGATGAAACATATTGTAGATCTATTAGTAATGTAATTTTTTCTTAATTGTTCTATTGCTGATCCAGGGCGAATGATAACGGAGAGGGGGGGGGGGTTTAACGGAAGGAGGGGGATTTACCCTTCCAGCTAAAAGAAGAAGGGGTTCTCTTGTGTAACATCATTTAGACAGCTATAAAATTTCACGTGTATTAACCAAAAAATATATTTTATCTCTCCATAAAAAATTAGCTGGCCTGGTTTTGAAATGACACCGATTCTTATGCTCTCTGTAACCTCAAATGGCTGAGATCTTAGAAACCNAATGCCTTTAGGGTTAAGAAAGTTAATAATTTCTGCCAATATGTTTTATTCTTTGTGGTATTACGATGTTGAAAACTTTTAGCTAAGCTTGTTTTGATATGACGTCACCAAACTTGACAGGTTTTATTTTCATCATTTGACAGGTTTTATTTTACTTAAAATTAGATCTTAGAATTATAGGAAAAGGGATACTAACCTGAAGATTCAGATTTTCCAGGAGTTTGGTGTAAAACAGGAGTAGGAGGTTGTTTATACCCTGCCACCTTCCCATACAGGGGCATCTTCCCCTGGGGGTTCCGGGGTAGGGAACTATATCGTTTACCCCCGGGGGAAAGTAGCCCTGATCCTCCTGACCGCGTAGAGGGTGCTCTAACCGGCGTGCTGGTGTGGCTGGAGGGAGGGGATTGAGAGCTGAGGGAGTAGCGGGGGGAGCATGATCCTTTACGGTCCAGGGAGCGGTACTTTGAGGGGGGCAACTCAGCCGTGCTGCCCCTTAACACCCTGGACATCATCCCCCTGTTATCCCCTGTAAATAGGGTGGGTAGGTATACAGGAGGGGATTCTGCATCTGTCCCCTCCTCGTCCCTCGGCCCCAGGTAGATCACGGTGTCGCAGGACTGCTCGGAGGAGGACGGGTCAGTAGAGGTCGTCATGTCGGAGCTGGAGTTTCCTAAAATTAAAGAAAAATTATTAAATTTTCTTGAACACTTTGATTAAAGGGCGCTGTGCGTTCTCTTTCTAGAAATAAATACATCGTAGTAGCAGATTTTCCTGTTTGTTATTTTTGAATTTTCTAAATTTGAGAAAAATAAATTTGATTAGGCTTTTATTGGTTTATTGGATACTAACAAACAAACAAACCAAAAGGCAGAAAGCAGTAAAATGTAGATATATATGATACAGAAAATGCTTGTCCTTTATCCTCTGCTAATGTTTAGATTAAAAGTTTTGCATTGATTTCATTTCTGCAGAGTTTTAGTTTGGTCTAATTTTGTCTGCAGTACTGTGCAAAAATATTTCTGCACACATATAGAACCAGAATTTAATTATACTAATTCTATTAACCCATTCTTATTGAATATATAATAAAAAGAAAATAAACTTTTATTATGTATAAAGCAAAAAGGTTCTTCCTGAAACTGATTGTAAATGTTCATATTTAATCATTTTTGTTGTGTAAAAAGCTATGTTTGAAATTGGAATAATTATGCTTGAATTCAATTTTTATACGATTAGGAGTTAAATTTTTTGTTTTGGAAAAAAGTTTTGAAAATAATTTAAAATTATCATTTTTCATAATTAATTCTACTAAAGGCCATTAAAATTAATATTAAATCCATTTTTAAAAAACATAAAAAAAACTGTGGAGTGTGTGGAAAGGGTCCAAGCTATAATACTATTTAAATAATTATATCATGTATTGACAGAAAGGGGGGAGGGTAGAAGGGGGGAGGATGGGGAGGGCACTGGTAACTAATGTATTCCCCGCAGGGGGTAACTAAAGAAATAATACAAAATAATAGAATTGTAATTATGTAACATTATCCAGCCATTTTTATATTTCTTTTTACAATCTACAAAACTTTTTGTTGAAAGCTAAAATAAAATTTTCTTGATATTGTTGAATTAATATAAAACAGTGAAAGAATAAATAAAAAAGAAAATAGCTGTAGTTTCACATTCAAATAATCTCTTCATAAAGGCACAATGCAGCAAAATCTACCAGATTCTATATAGATAGATGGATAGATAGATAGAAAAAACGGTAGAAGTAAATAGATAAATAAATGTGGAAATGGATATTAAGTTAAATTTAGTTGGGACAGAAATAACTTGAGAGAACTATTGATATTAATAATGGGACCCTCTGTTTAAATCTGATTCACAACGGCACCCTTTCAACAAAAAGAAAAACTAATGGAGTTGTTCATTTTTCACCATCTGAAAATTGATTTCTTTCAACTGTGGTTCTTCTGAAGATTGATTCGAATTATACTGGTTACAAAATACTAGTCCACAGCAACCCAAAAATGTCAAATTATTTGGTACAAATAAAGCGTAGGCGTAGATGTATCTTATCACCCCAACCTACCAGAGGGTATAGTTGATCTATTCTCTTCTCCCTGTAAGGTTACTATGTGAAGTATAGGATAAACTTCTCATACAAACTTAGGCAAACTTTTAAAACTTTGCTACAGCTTCAAGACGTAGGAGTATAATACAGTTTAGGGACGTAATATAATCAGGGGAGGGAGTTAACGGTGAGTTTAGTTCTATGTATGTAGTATGTTTTGTGTATATAAGGAAGAAAAAAATTATCAATGTTGTTTTATCGATTTTTTAATCTAAATTCAGATATAAATAGATACACTAAACATTTAGGAAAAATTCATAAATATTGATAAATTTCATTTATCTACGAATTGATTCATGCTCAAGCAATCTTTATGGGTAGTTTTTATAAAGTTCCTGGATTTATACATAAACCTGCGTCGTACACACATAATTTGATGTATAACTTGAATTTAAACTTTAATTTATATATATAGATATATATATAGACCTACAGTGCACCCTGCAGGTCGCCCTGTATAAAGCAAGAAGCTACAATATAAGCCAGTATATAAAGGAAACATCAGTAGAATTTAAAACAACTAAACAATAATCATCATCTTTATTCTTTGTAGTGAGAAATAATAAAAACAAATCTTATACAAGTTCAAATCCTAAGTGCTAAGCATTACAAATGTGTTTATACCGTGCAATGAATTAAAAGGTAAAAAAATTTTGCATAAAGAAATATCATCTGATAAGACGTAAAAACTGGTCTCCCCCTCCCCCCCACGTTTATTACTTCAAAAATGAGAACAGAATATTTCAAAAAAAAATCTTTCTTCTTTATAACATATAAGGTATACAGTACAGTAAAGTTAGAAGGGCGGGTCGGGGATTCAAAAAAAACTTAAAATAGCATTTAACTTGTATTTTCTGTAGCTTTAACGGGCCTATAATTAACATTTTTGAAAAACACTCTGAAAAATTTTAAAAGTATATTATATGCTGAAAAACAAATACACCCCCATCTCAATTCTATTGTCAAAAATGGGTGAGGGGTATTGAAGCCCCCCCCCCCCTTTGTACTTGAATGGCCCAACCAGGATTAAATAAGATAATTGAAACATAGATATTTGAATTTCATTAAGACGTGCGCGGAATTTAAACAGTGCGCGCTGTTTCTTTAATCTGGGCGCGCAAAGTTGAAGTATGTAATTATCCGTCGTATACTTTACATTTTTCAGCAGCTTTTTATACTTCTGTCGGACACTTTTACCAGTATAATTAAGTCATAAATATAATATTTTCTTGTGTAAAAAGTGAAATATTCAGGACGTATTTCAGTCTTAAATTTAAACAACATAATAAGGAGAACCTAAGATTAGACTAAAAAATCAGAGCAAGGTAAAAAAAAACTGCAAATGTTCTAAAAAGGGGTTGGGTCACAAATTACAAAAATTACCCCAGATTTCCTTGACCAGAGTCATTGATACTTTCTGTTGAAAATATTCCAAGAAACTCAAAATTTTACAAACTTGAAACTATTTTCAGTTCTTTTTAAATAAAACTTTTAATCGTTTTGAAAAGGTAATGTTTTCTTAATTTAATATTTAATACCCTGTCTGCAGTTTTTAAAGTGCAAAATATACACTGTACTGAACTTTACTGCACTGTACTTTACTGTATTGTACTGTTCTGTACTGTACTGTACTGTACTAGACTTAACTGTACTATACTGTACTGTACTGTAGTGTACTGTACTGAACTGTACTGTACTGTACTGTTCTGTACTGTAATGTACTGTATTGTACTGTACTCTACTGTACTGCACTGTATTGTATTGTATTGTATTGTATTGTATTGTATTGTATTGTATTGTATTGTATTGTATTTTATTGTATTTTATTGTACTATATTGTACTGTACTTTACTGCACTCTACTGTACTGTATTGTATTGTATTGGTTTGTACTGTACTGTACTGTACTGTACTGTATTGTATCGTATTGTATAGTGCTGTACTATAATGTACTGTGCTGTACTGTGCTGTACTGTAAAAGTTGACCTACCTAAGCCTGGTATCCGGTTTAGTCTGACCAATCTCCGATTCTCATCTGAACTCCCAGATCCGGATCCTCCAGAACTACCTCCGGCCTAAACAAAAAATTTATTATTTAAAAAAAATGTTTTCTTACTGATACAGTTTTTGTCCAAACCCACAAATAAACCTTGGAAAGAAAAGAACAAAAAAGTTTTGTATTTGCATGACAGCATGGTATTAAATCTGATTTCTGGTCAGATTCTCCTCCCTGACAGTAGTTGTATGTACCCGGAGTAAATCCTGAACCTGGGCCTGGAGCTAATTAACCAAGTTTAGATTCTCCGCCCGCAGTTCCACTAGTCTCCAGTAGTTCCAGGATAATTAGAAAATTGGAAACCCTAGTTCTACTTATACCAGGAATAGTAAAAGGATAACAGGGTCATGAACTGTATAAGACACGTTGAAATAAGTTAAACTTTAAGAAAAAGTTTTGTTGACAATGAAAGACAATGAGAGGTTTTTGTTGATGTGAAACATTAAGATTTTCTAGTCAATATTTAAGTATTGAAAAAGCTGTGAAAAATTAATTTACAAGAAAAGAACATTTGTAAGACTTTGTTAACGTTAAATTTAGAACTTTAAAAATCTATTTTATGTTAAAAACTTTACAAATTAAAGATTAAAATGCAAATATAGAAAATTGTATTTTAGTTTTAGTTTTTTCAACTTAACATCATGTATAGACTTTGCTATAGATTAAAGTAAATACAGCGAGGTTTACCATATATATATAAGTAGAAATAGATAGATAGATAGATAGATAGATAGATCAATATCTGAGAGAAATTGTTTACACATTTTTTCTTTTCCTTGCTCAATGACAGAAAATAAACATATTTTCGATTCCATACCATGATGATAATAATGTTTAAACTAATATGCATATTACACAGAGTACACAATGTAAACATAAAATAAAGAAAATATATCCTAGTCAGAGATACAGAAATACAAACCCTGCTATTGTCTTCAATGTCTAAGCTGGGTTAAAACAATGCAGTTGAAAAGTTCAACTGCAAAATCTTTCTTTCATCTAGTGTATACAAGATACAGTATACACATTACACAATACTGGATACATGATACACAATACAGGATACATGATACACAATACAGGATACAGTATACACAATACAGGATACAGTATACACAATACAGGATACAGTATACATAATACAGGATACAGGATACAGTATACATAATACAGGATACAGGATACACAATACAGGACACAGAATACAGAGCACAGGATACAAAGCACAAGATACATGATACATGATACAGGATACAGGATACATGATCCAGGATACAGGAAAGGATCTTTTTACCTTCTTTTTCCTGCGAATTCTATGTATTCTACTGGCGAGCTGTATTGTGTGAAGGGTCTCAGAGTAGTGAGGCGGGGAGGGGGACACGTGGGCAACCATCCCCACCAAACTCTTCAGGGGCGCCAGGCAGTCCTTCAGAAGGCAGGTCACCCTGGACTCCTTTATAGAGATACCAACATAGATATCAATATATTAATATCAAGGAAAAGAAAAACTCAAATATTTAAACTTTTTTATCATTGCAACCTGATGGTTTAAATATTTTATCTAGCAGTATTCAGAGTTTAAAATATTTAAGATCTTTGAAATATCCAAGGTCTTCGACATTTTGATGCAAAGATAAAGGAATAAGAAAATCAGAGTTTGTGGCAAATACTCAGCTACTTTCATTCTTCTCTTTACAGACCAGGACCATCTTGCTTCTTTTTTCCTTGTCATCTACCCCCCCCCCCCTCCACTCACTTTTCACCCACCCAGCCTCTGTAACCCCCCTCCCCCTCCCTAAGTTTGGTGACAGGCTTCAATAATTTAACAAGAAAGCCCAATATTATCAACAATTCAAACTATATTCCAGCAATAGAAACAAGAGATAATGCAAATCATAGAATAAAGGGAATCACCGCAAATTTTGTTAAAGTTACTTCTGCTAAAAAAATTCCGTCTGTTTTTAATCTCCAATTTTGCTAATGTACAGCGATCTACGAAAAGAATGCTTCAACAATTGAGACGGGTCCGACTTTAAAGGCTTGCGAAGCCTTTGTATTTGGTTTGCCATTTCTAACATATTTGTATAATTTTTAGCCCAGGGGTTGAAGATTTCAAAGGTGAAAAATGTTTAAATAAGGATATTTTAGTTGGCAGTGTTTATTAATGATATACAATGATACACACCTTAAATGGTAGATGACGCTGCCCGTTTAATATCCCAAGAATAACATGACCAAGACCAGCCTAAACAAACACAATTCAAAATAGAAAAATATTTATATATGTTTTATTCATATCTATGAATAGCAATAAAAACCCGATGTCGTATTATATGAATAGTGAGAAGTTGTTGTTAAACTGTTGTGAATGAGAGGAAAAAGTAGTTTAAATAGTTATATGTAATTAAACTGCTTCTCAACATTTATTAGATCCTACCCCTGGAAATATTAGATTTTTTGGTTTAAACTGATTCAGTTGCAGAAAATGTTTTTCAAAATCTGCAAAATATCTTTATAATGATTTGGGTACAGAAAATGATTTTTAAAAGAAACTTTTTTATCAAATCTGCTAAATATCTTTAGCCCATTAGGGTTAATTAATGAAGTTCACAAAAACCAAGTTTGTATCTAAAAGTTAAGACTATGTTGATGGAAAGGATAAACAATGTGTTGACCGGACAGTTTAACATATTTTTAAGGAAACAGTTTCAGGGAAATCGACATTTTGGGGGATTTAGGTTTAGAATCCTAGGATTCTTGAAATACCAGGTAAAATGAACGGACACATAGAGCAATTAGTCAGTTTAAACATATACACCTATACTGCTATATACTGCTAGCAAAAGAAACTTTTCGAGACAGAAGGGGAATAGACAGGGTGGGGGGGGGAGGATTAGAGAAAGGGGAATGGAAGAGGGCGAGAGGGGGGGGTAACAAAAGTATAACAAGGAGAATATTGAAAAAACTTTGTCTTGTTGAAAATAAAAGATTGGAGAGGGTATATAGGAGAAAGAATTTAGAGAGATATTGAGAAAAATGCTTTTTCCAATTTTTCCAAAAAAATCTTCCGTAAATATTATAATGATTTGTAAGGCTGATTTTAAGAGTATATAAACACTTCAGAAAGAAAGTTAAAAACATATCAAGGATGGATTCATTAAAACAACGTACAATAGAGGATGTAAAATGTATCATAACAGATTTAAGAAAAATCTAAATTTGCGTGGTTCTTTATATTCTAATTGGCAATTAAACAAACGCAATGTGAAAAAAAACTAATTGTTAGCTTCTACGTTTTTATATGATTAGCAATTTATAACTATGACTGAAGTATAGAATACGTGATGAAGGCAATGTAAGCGTGCAAAATCAACTTGTCACTTTCAAGTTCAGTCCAATACCTGAGTGATACTCCCTCCTTTAGTTAGATTTCTCTCACTTTAAAGTTCAGTCCAATACCTGAGTGATACTCCCTCCTTTAGTTAGATTTCTCTCACTTTACAATACCTGAGTGATACTCCCTCCTTTAGTTAGATTTCTCTCACAGTGCCCGAAATCTATTAGATTCAACCGACTTTTTCCTGGAGTAAAATTTTTTTTTAATGCTTTCTGCAGAAAAGACTTAAGTTATGATTTCAATAATGTAATGACCACGAAAGACAGAATTTGTGAACACAGACCCATTTATATTTTTTAAGTAACTAGTATACAGCTATTGGTTTTGAAAGAACATCAAATACACATTAGAAAACAGTCTTTTTATCAGTTTAATAGTATAAAAATAAAATTGTAAAACATCACTTTTTTACGAAGGTGTAAACTAATAAACATAAAGAATAGTTTTATCAAAGGCATAAAGTTAATTAAAGTAAATTTATGATAAAATTTTCCTTTAGAAATATTTGAAATTGTTATGCATAAAAGTTTACCAAGATATTGATCACTGTTGGCAGTTTGTTGATAAATATGAAGACTCAACATGAAGTGCGAGGTACCCTTAAATAATATTACAAGGTTAGAAACTTGACAAAATATTATTCTTAGATTTTAAACAGGGCTATAATTTAATTATGAATTTTATCGCCCGTTGACCAACATTACCGACCTAGCTATGATTCCTCCAACATTCAATGGGATGTTAAGTTACTTCTCTGTCAATTGGGACATTTGAAAAATTACATCCGCTTTGCGAAGTTTTTATAAAAAAACCGTGAATTTTCATCTCAAAAGACGATAACATTACTAAAATTTACGTTTTCAGGAAATCAAAAATTCTCTTAACTTCCCTGTAAAGTAATTAGTAGTAAATAATTATTGTTATTTTCTTTGATTTATTTAGATTTTATGAAAAGTATTCAAAGAATACACAATGGAAGGAAAAGCCAAGCCTAGCCCTACCATATCGACTGACTAGCCCTACCATATCGACTGCCTAGCCCTACCATATCGACTGCCTAGCCCTACCATATCGACCATATCGACTGCCTAGCCCTACCATATCGACTGCCTAGCCCTACCATATCGACTGCCTAGCCCTACCATATCGACTGCCTAGCCGACTGATCAAGATTGTGATTTACTCGATGTGCATAAAGAAAGTTCTGATCAACAAATAAAAATCCTATTAACAGGAATTAAGTTTTGACAACAAACTCTGATTTTCTTAATCCGTTATCTTTGCATCTCACTGTCGTAGACCTTTGATATTTCAAACTGTTTATGAATTAGATTAGATCAAGTTTAAAATGTCATAAGTTTACATCATCAGGTTGCAAAGATATAGGTCTTCTTGTGGCAAAAACTCAGTTCCTTTGTCCAATACTGTCCTATTGTACCCATTTTAAAATTTGCAATGATTTCCTTTTAACAAATAGGTTCAATGAACAAAGAATAAACATTATGCTTTTAGCAAAAATAATGAACTTTTTGACCTTCTCCTCTCCCCAATTACCCCACCCCTCCCTCTTTATGTCGTAGCGATTTTCCAGTTTTTGTTTCGCTGATTATCAAGCTTAAATTCACATCGTCTATGTAATCACGGTATAGAAAGGTCAGGGAACAATAACTTAGATTTCAAGTAAAAACAATAATTGACGATGGTTAACAAAAGTGCTTCAATTTTTCATTAATAAACTAAGCTTTAATTTTACATTAATAAACTAAGCTTCAATTTTACATTAATAAACTAAGCTTCAATTTTACATTAATAACCTAAGCTTCAATTTTACATTAATAACCTAAGCTTCAATTTTACATTAATAAACTAAGCTTAATTCAATAATTACTTTTCCCGAACATTTTCTGCTTGGCCTATCCAGGTAGAGCATGCGCAGTCTGGTTAGTCTGTGGATCGGGTTATGATTGATTTCCATTTTGTATATGAATTTCTAAAAGTTAATTTTGAACACTTTTTAATTTAAATTGAAGGGTTAAAGTAACCCTGCTCTTGCGGAAAAATTAAATCAATATCATGTTTCGCAGAGTTAGCTAGTAGTTTAAATCATTTTTTGGCTTAGTTCAGAAAAGTTTATTCAATTTGTTTTTGGTCTGTATATTATATAATTAACGTGTGTGTAGCTGAGAATTAAAACTTCACCTGTGTACTATGTATTCTCCGAGCCAGAGCATAGTCCAGAAGATAACCAGCCTTCTCAGCTGACGAAGCTCGAACTTCCGTCAAAGATTGGAAACCAGAGCCATGAAGCTTAGACTCCAAACTCACTAGAAAAAAATGCTTAGCCTTCATACTCACTAGAAAATAATATTCAAGACTGTACAATAATTGTACACTGAGTGTACATGATTTCCAAATACCAATAAGATTAAAACCGAGGCATTTTATCAAATGGTAACTTTCCAAAAAATAAAAAATTTTCAAAATGTAAAATTTGTTAAGTTGCATTTGTCATTTAGTCAAAGATATCCTCACAACTATGCAAATTATGCTTCAATTTTCAATCAAGACTGGGTCGACTAAAAAGTGTCATAACGTTTTGGACTAACGGTTCCTTGCAGTTGCAACTGGTCAACCTAATTTAATGTTCATTTCAAAACTGTAGATATTGTTTCGACTTTAGCCTAATTAGATTGCTTGTAAACAGACTGCTGAACCAGTTTTTAACCCCAAAACCGAGTTCATTGTGTATTCCAGATTTTTTTCTACAGTAAATAGATTCACTTATGGCCCAGTGTTGTTTAATTGCAAGGTTATAATACAATGAACGTTAATACAAGAATAAATGCATCAGTGTTCATTCAGTATCCGAGGAGGTTAAAAGCATTAAATTTTGATAATTTTGATAATTCACATAAATGTTTCCTATGACCAGAATATTTTATTGATTTTTTATGAAAAGATGGATCCCATGTCAGGATTCGATATCCGTCTTGTGTTTACATTACCGCCCAGAGACAGTACACTGAAGTACAAAAGATGCGTACTCCTCTGAAATAACTTTCCTTGCATTATAACCTTGCCTAATTGCATCTTGATTCATTCCTACACTATAGAAATCTACTCTAGATCTCATTGACCTATTTGACATCTCTTACCTTGATGATTCATTCCTACACTATAGAAATCTACTATAGATCTCATTGACCTATTTGACATCTTTTACCTTGATGATTCATTCCTACACTATAGAAATCTACTCTAGATCTCATTGACCTATTTGACATCTCTTACCTTGATGATTTATTCCTACACTATAGAAATCTACTCTAGATCTCATTGACCTATTTGACATCTCTTACCTTGATGATTCATTCCTACACTATAGAAATCTACTCTAGATCTCATTGACCTATTTGACATCTCTTACCTTGATGATTCATTCCTACACTATAGAAATCTACTCTAGATCTCATTGACCTATTTGACATCTCTTACCTTGATGATTTATTCCTACACTATAGAAATCTACTCTAGATCTCATTGACCTATTTGACATCTCTTACCTTGATGATTCATTCCTACACTATAGAAATCTACCCTAGATCTCATTGACCTATTTGACATCTCTTACCTTGATGTTGAACCTCTTGACCTCGTAATGAAACTAGTAGGTCCCTCAACTCTTCTCTATTCCCAGCTATCTCCAGGGCGGACACCTTGATGGTTAACCTCATCCCTGTCTTCTCCTTCACCTCCTTCACGCACCTAAATATCATAATAATATTTATTATTGTTTTTGTTATTATTATCAAAAGAGACAACAAAGAGCGTGTGAGTAGAGAATTAGAAATGAAGAAATAAAATTTACCTTATCACAGTAAAAAAATTAAATTAAATCATAATTATTATCATCGTTAAATAATACAAAATCAACGTTAATTATTTAATCAATATATAATCTGAACTCTTTTCCTAATCATTTGAAATAAAAGTTAAAACAAGTTTTGATGGCAACTGTTAAAAATCCGTGTAGGTATTTATAGGGCTGGGCATATTCCTCGTTTTTTTAATCGTTCGTTCCGTTCCGTTTGTTCCCGTGAAAGAGCGACGCACAGCCCTAGGTATAGGGTAACCCATTGAAGTATTTGTAGGTATAGGTAGGGCTGGGCACATTACTAGTTTTTTAATCGTTCGTTTTGTTCCGTTCGTTCCCGTGAAAGAACGACGCACAGCCCGAGGTATAGGGTAACCCATTGAAGTATTTGTAGGGAATGAGTAATTACAGTCAGCATAAAAGAAGCACATATGTGTCTTGTCTTCACAAAGAATAATAAATTAAATGAAAACTTCACGGGGACTTTAAACATAGGAAACAGTGGGAGGAAGTGGGAAAGTTTTCGAACAGGTAACATTTGAAACTGGTAATTTTTTTAAGAACATGACAGGAACGTAAAAAAGACGAGACGAGTCAGTCAGAAAGGAAAAAGAGAGGAAAGAAAATCAAAATATAAATTAAAAGAAAAAAGAAAAAGAAGAACGGAAAATATGAAAAAACGAGAAATAAAAAGATTTTTGTATTATATAAGAATAAAAGAAGGTGGAAGGAGAAAGGTAAGATGCGAGGAAAGGGGGAAGGAATAAGAGGAAGGGAGATGGATAAGAAAGAAAAGAGAAGAAAAGGGAAGGGAGAATGGGAAAAAAGAGAAGGGGAAAGGAAAAAGAGGGAAGGAAGCAGGAAGAATAGGGAAGGAGAAAGGGGAAAGGGAAATAGGAAAGAAAGCAGGTGAAAGGGAAGGGGGAAAGGGGGAAGGAATAATATGGAAAGGAAAGGGTAGAAGGGGATTTCTGAAGAAGGGATGGAAAGCAAGGGAAAAGAAAAAACATGTTTCTGCCCAGGCCTGATAGTCGGTAACATGCACTTTATTCTTAAAAACCTTTCTTTGCTTATTAAATGCATCCGATCTATAGAGAATACAAACCCTTGTAACCCTGCAAACTGCATGGCTATTAAAGCTGTTTCCTTACTTTCTTATAACTATAAACATTTTACCATGACATTTATATCATAAACCAGGAGGTATTACCTTTATAATTCATTTCAATTAAAAACACAATTTCTCAGAAATTATTAAATGGGAATTTCGACGTAACTTCAAGTAACTCTACATTTAACAAAAGATTCGTTAGGGTTTTAAAAATAAGAAAGATTTTATTGTTTTTTTTTACAGAAAAAAAAGAGTTAATTTCTATTTTCATAGAGAAGCCTTTATTAAGAATGACTAATTTTATATTTTTCATCACATTTTCTATGACAAAGGTGGGTGTGCACTTGCCACTAAGGTGTCGATAAAAACTACTATATTTTAATGGCGCGTGCGATGAGCGCGGTAATTTTTCGCATTGCACTACTACTGTGAATAATTCCTGCAAAAGTTAGGCCGACAGCTCTGAAATTCGATAAAATAATCGCCTCCAAAGCTTAAAAAACTACAAAAGAAAGCTTAAAAAAAGATATCATGAAATTATGATGTAACATATCAATTTCTTCGTTTTCAATCATGGAACTCAGATCTGTTGGAATTTGTGAAGAAAAGAAATTTCAAATGAGTTAGGCCCAAAAAATCGTCAAAAATGTTCGTTTTTCAGAAAAGAACATTTTTTGAAGGTTTGTTTATAACTTAACTGAATATCCAGGATATAGATATAGTAATATAAACCTGAATATCCAAGACATAGATTTAAGAATATAAACCTGAATATCCAGGATATAGATTTAAGAATATAAACCTTAATATCCAGGATATAGATTTAAGAATATAAACCTGAATATCCAGGATATAGATGTAGGAATGATTCCAATGCTTCGACTTGATTCATCGCGTCCCAACATTGTAAAGCTCTTTCCAAGGTTAGAGTGCCCAAAACTGAAAATATAAAAAATATAGATATAAAGATTTTTAAATTCAAACAATATTAACAATATAGAAAAGCTAAATGGTAATGATGAAAAATGAAAAGTAAAACAAAATTCGTAAAACCACTGAAAGAAATAATAAATTGAAAACCTAAAGATAAAAAGTTCATAAGAAAACCGAACAGAGCGTTATAGATCCCAAAAGCCTGATTCACTTCTTAGGTCGGCTTCAAACCGGTTTTAGACCATGATTCAGAGATGATCGCAGAATTTTTCATACAGGGTGTCCCACGAAACATGACAGTGACAAAACGAAGTGAACGTAGTCTTTTTTCTTAGCAATAATTTACCCTTAGTAAAATTTAAATGTAAACGAACTTCTTAATATATCCGCTAATATTGATCAGAACAATAAACTACATTATGCAGATGCCAGGACTAGGAGAATTTTGTAGTTATTGTATCAAGAATCATACATGTGAAAGTAGGGTGACGATGAAATGTCACAAATATATTCAAAGTTCAAAGACGACTTTCAGGCCGTCGTGCTTCTGTCAAGTTTCGTGGGACACCCTGTATCAAAACTAGATCAGAGCTTAATCGGTCTTTTAAGCTAGTATTACCGATGTTAACTGTTAGAATACAATTGTCAACATTGTGTGACAGATGGGCATGACAGTTACCTGAAAAGTGTGGCATCTGTCCCAAAGACAGCGGACTGTATAAATTCAGGTAGACAGCTGGATGACAGCTCAGATTGAGTATCTTCATCTAAACATTACATAATTTACAACTTTTTTCTGAGGTCAAAATACATATCGGTGAAAATTTAAAAATGAATTTAAGGTGTCCAAAAGTAATAAAATTTAACTGACTGTTTCACAAAAAGATGATCTCTTATCACAGTGTCCCAGAATTATTAAAAATATAAACATTCAGTCACTAAGTGATAACAACTGTAACACTCTGTGCCCCAAAAAAAGTACACTGTACTTTAATACTATAACTGTGTCCCATAGTTATTACAAGTGTATACACGGTAATAACAACTGTATTCACAGACCACGTATCCCAAAGTAATTACAACTGTATATATACACTACGTCCCATAGTTTATAAAAATGCATAAACAATGTCCCGAGGTAATCTTCTTAAATGAATTGTAATGATAATTAATTCATTAAAGCTGCAAAATTAATTAAATTATTATTAATTGATTAATTAGAGAATTCTGCGAAGGAAAGGAACTAATATAAGTTTGACGGAAGAAAATCTGAGCTCAACTTTTTTAAAAAGGGATCTGTCTCTAATTTTACACTATCTATTCTAAAGATTCTGTGTATCTATAAATATTAAAGATATAGAATCCAAACAATAGTATTTTATTCAGTAGCCTTAAACAAATTGCAGCTGGTCTAAAAGTATAGATACTTAATTTCTCAAATTAAAAGGATCTGTAAAAAACAGTCACTTTAACGCAAAACACCTAACGAAAACGAATTAAAATGACATGAGTTAATAAAAAAGTTTAAGTCGTTTTATAAAGTTTACATCAACTATTATCTACATTTTTTATTTATTATAAATATAATATTATTTTTTTTGATTGCGTGTATCAATAAAAGAAGAAACATGATTTCTAAGCTACTTTGGATATTGTTACAATTAAAAAGAATCACAACTTTACAAACATTTTTTGTTTGATTTTATATTTTTCGAGCTCAAACATTTTTAAATTTGTTTTCTCAGAATACCTTAGAAAATTAATAAATTGAAAACAATGGAGAGGAATTTATTCTTAAACCTAAAATTTCTCATCCTTTATTCTTTGCAAGGCAATGAAAACCTTTGATAATTAAAACTTAGCTTATTTGATCTAGCTAACATACTTCAAAGTTTGAAATATCTAAAGTCTAAGACATTGGGTTGCACAGATATAGGAATTAAAGTTTGTGGCAAAAACTCAATTTCTTTAAATCCCCAAGAGATGTTTTAACAAATGAGTTGTAAAACTATTGAAAACCATGCTGAATTTAAAGAAATTTATTTTATTTATTTATTTATTTTATTTTATTTTATTTAATTTTATTTAATTTTATTTAAATCATTTTTTTTAAGTTTAACATTAAAGGACTTGATTCTTTGCCAAAACCCTATATCTGTGCAATCTGATGGTGTAAAGCTTTATTATTTCAGCTTAGATTATTTGATCTAACAGAATTCATTCAACATTGGGTTGCAAAGATATTGGGATTAAAAATCAGAGTTTGTGGCAAAGACTTAATTCCTTTGCGGGATTCGATCAAAACCAGCTTTTTATAAACGAATGGGAATTACAAAGTTCCCCAGTTTTTGTTTTTTAAAGGATGAAAGTCAAGATTGTGATTTGTTGAGTTATCCCTTTAATGCGGATGGTTTTAAATTAAAGAAAGGGAAACTACAAGAACTTCTTTTCAAGATTAAAATTCCTGAGATTTTCTAAAACAGTGTGAAAAGACATTTCTTGTCCGGGAACCTTTAATGGAAAACTTAATCTATTACTAGAAACTTCACTTGTAACTTTCAGACAAAACTTTTGGTTTTCCTCCGAACAGAACCAGTTGAATTCATTTTTGCAAAATAATATTTTTGCATGGATTTCATAGAAATTTTGTTTGCTAATTATTTTCAAATATTTTTATCTATTGATGCATGTAATGCAACTCTTTAAAAAAGATGTTAAAGAATATATGCCCTCTTTATATAAATGTCGTCTTTTTATTTATCTTTCTTACTACCCTCCGATCAACATTTTGGCACGTCATAATTTTATAATCCCCTCAGACAAATATGTATACTTCCTTTAGTCGAAAACAAACCAACGTGAAGGAACCCTTTTTTGGTCTCATAACATGTTTTAATAAAATATTTTGATTTTAAAATTGCCATGTTGTGAAGTTGTGAAGTTTCTAGTTTAGTATTTTAGATAAAGTTTTCAATTTCTAGCAAAATGCTGGGCTTGCAATAAACAGCAATTTACTTGTTGTCTTCCTGTATTTGGTAAAACTTTAACAGTTTAAAATGTTTAAAGTTTCATTAGAAATCCTTTTGTCCAGCAGCAAATACAAATATGAGGAATAAACTTCATACTTGGAAACTTTATACGGAGTGATTCACTTGCAATCCTTAACGCAGAAAGTGCATTTTATGCATTTTCTAATTGAATTTTATCGTGCATCTGTTGCAGTGCAATTGATGTCTATTTTAAGTATTGAATTTTCTAAATTTGAACTTATCTACTGTATAGATTCTAGCTGAAGTGCCCGGCGTTGCCCGCGGAATTTAAAAAAAGATTGCATTCTGAATCTGTCCATAACATACTCAGCCGGTTCCCCTCCCCCTGGCGATTTTATTTAATATGTCCAAAACAGCTACTCCTTACTTTAACCCATTCCTTAATTATTTTCTTGTGGATTTCCCGTATATTCCCAGAATTAATTTTAAATCCTTCAATTCAAAAGTTTCAATAGTATTTACCTGTAAAAACTCCATCAAACGCGAACATTCTTGGAGCCAGGACATCCAGGGGTTTCTTCTCAAGCCCTATTTCAACACTGACAGGTTTAGACCCAACCTTCTCCCGGTCCTGATCAGGTTTATCTCCGTCCTCAACCCTCTCCGGACCCAGGAGAGTAACCTGCTTCTTCTTCTTATCCATCTTGAAGAAATCAGCTTTACCATGCTCTAGACCACTCTCCGTCATAACCCGGAGATACACACGAACCTTCCCCAGCCCCTGGTTATCCCTTGGCTCCAGCATCTTCTTGAGTAGGATGCCCGGGGGAGGGGGTGGGCACCGACCCAGTATCCCGGCAAATCCGGTCATAAGATGATCATTCGATGGGTTCTGTTCGCATGATCGGCGCGGAGAAGCCGGAATACTCCCGCCCTTTTTATTCTTTTTTGCGAAAAAGGCGGCGGCGGTTTTATGCTGGTGATCTGAACCGACTTGAGGCGGCGGGGCGATCACGTACGCGGGGTCATATCTTCCCTGCTTGATCCAACCCTTCAATACTTGTTCTACAGTTTTTAATATTTCTCAATTCTGCGGCGGATAAAAATAATGTTATGTCGAGTATTCACGGCACGGAAATTAACATTTTTATGGAGTTCCACAACCCTCTGCGGGTAATTTTTCCACTTCACAACTTCTACACTTTTACAATTTTAATTTGGGAAAAGTATGAGTTATGAATTACTATGGGCTATAGCCGGAAAGTTTAAGGTCTACTGTCTTGGATCTAGAATCTAGGATCTAGAATCTAGAATCTAGGATCTAGGATCTAGAATCTAGGATCTAGAATCTAGGATCTAGGATCTAGAATCTAGAATCTAGGATCTAGAATCTAGAATCTAGGATCTAGGATCTAGAATCTAGAATCTAGGATCTAGGATCTAGGATCTAGGATCTAGGATCTAGGATCTAGGATCTAGGATCTTGGATCTAGGTTAAGTCTATGTATTGAAAGGGTTCCTGATTGTGAAGAGTTGATTGGTTAAGTACTGCTGAGTTGTCTCTATACACAAACATCAACAATAGATATTAAGATACTTTTCAAACCAGCAAACTGATTCAGGGATTCAAAAATCTATAACTGGTATTTTAGGAACTATAGAAGTAATTTCAACTAACTTTACATTTAAATTTTACATTTAAACCTTTATCCACAGTTAAAAATAACAATTTTTTCAGAGAGAAAAATAAGAAGTTTCATTCAGCCTTTATGTACTACAAGTTTATAGGGTATCATCGTGAATAAGCAAGGCCATATTTTAGAATTGGAGGATCACTTTAAGCCATATTTATTACTTTTAAATTATGGTATCAAATATTATATTTTACATTTAGATTAGTCAAGTTATTTGATTTCCTTATCAAAACAAACAGATTGGAATTTAATTTAATTTCAAAGTTTACGATATAGAACTCGATATTCTAAACATTAGGAAAATGTTACTGCATATTAAATATGATGTCCATCTTTGATTTAATAACAAGGAAACGTAATTCAAGAAAGTGTTTTTGAAGATTTATTTGTTCATTGAATCACAACTAAAAAAGATATGAAAAAATGTAGTAAATATGAATATATTTACTTTTATATTAATCTACATATTTTCAAGATATTTGAATATTGAGTCAAATATTAAATATACATCTATAAATATATATAGGTTGATAGATCAAAAGAAAATTCTTAAAAAGTAAAAGTTCCATTTTCATTGTTTAATTATTGATATTTTTTAACCAAATGTATTTTCATTTTTTACATTGGGTTTAAACAGCTGAAGAGTATCAATAGAATTAAACATCTCTGAACACATGAAATATCAAGCTAGAGCATTTCTTTATAAACACATTTTATAAACACAATTGATAAATTATCTAAAAATTATATTTTTGTTATATTTTTCCCCCCCCCCCCCCCGCTAGTCCCATCGATGTATCATTTTCATTTCGTATTAGTTATTGTGAAAGATTCGATTTAGTTTTTTTCTTCATATATTCCTTTAGTTTAAGGAAAATTGATAAAAAGAAAATGCTAAAAAATCCGTTATGAATTATTTAAGCTTGTTTCATTCCATGGAAAAATTTTCGCGGGTTTTGACGATTTGACTGAATTTTCATTGGTTTCATTCAGGAAATGCGCGAAATGAGTATGAACTTAAGCTCGCAGAAAAATGTCGAGCCTTTCTCGTCCATTTCTAATCCACTAAGATATATGCAAGCATTTTTTTTATATTACATATTGTAAAAATATTTTTAAAAAAAACTCTTCAGCAGTCATTAAATAATTTCAGCTTTAATGGGTCGTTAAGCATCATTTTACAATGACCCTTCATGTAATAGAGTGGCATGGTCGCTTGACAACGGTACACTTAAATTCTGTGTCGAATCCAGGGGTATTTATAAAAACATCATGAACACATGAACTGATTGGCAGCAAATTTTCATAGCTTTTTTCGTTATTATTATTTGTAAATTTGAAAAATACCAATCGTAAATCAAAGACGACCTTCACTCCGGAAACCTTTGAATATTTGATTCATGGTATTCGTATATAAGCGTATTCGTGTCCATAATTCATAATTTCCAGAACAATTTGCAAACTAAATTGAAACAGATTTTTGCAAAGATTGTCTTGGAAAGGAATTTTGGATTGGTTTGAGTGAAATTAAATATAAAGGCAACAAAGTTAATTTTAATCTACTTCGTCTTGGATTCTGCAAAATAATTTTAAATCTTATTTTTCTTAATTTGAAAACAGATTTCAATTAGCTCTCTGCTCTCCGAAGCGCTAGATGAATAGTGAGGAAACTAATTGATGAATGAATAATTTTTAAGAATATTTAACTTTTATAAAACTAAAAGTATTGGGTTAATTTTCTTGTATAATTCTTTATATCTGCTACACCAATACACAATATATCGGCTACACTAGCTTTATCTTTTTCACAATATATATCTGCTACTTTAATTGCTACACACTATATCTGCTACACACTATATCTGCTACACACTATATCTGCTAACATTACATCTGCAACACTTTATCTGCTTTACAGTAAACAAACATTATATCTGCTACACACTATATCTCCTACACACTATATTTGTAACACATTATATCTGCTACACACTATATCTGCTCCACACTAAATCTGCTACACACTATATCTGCTACACACAATATCTGCTACACTTTATCTGTTTTACAGTAAACACTATATCTGCTACACACTATATCTCCTACACACTATATCTGTAACACATTACATATGCTACACACTTTATCTGCTACACGCTATATCTGCTACACACTGTATTGGATACACACTATATCTGCTTCATACCATATCTGCTACACATTACATTTGCTACACACGATATCTGCTTTACAGTACAGACTTTATCTACTACATACTGTATCTGCTACACACTATATCTGTAATACACAATATTTGCTACACCGGCCATGTATATGCCAGACCCTATGCATATCTAAACAATTACATAAATATAGTAAACAATATTAAAATAGTTGCACATTTTTTATAACTTGTATGTGTATTTTTAGCAATAAACTATATCTTATCTATATTATATATATTTGCTACATCAACATTCTATTTATTTGCTACAAACTGTATCTGCTACACAGACACAAGATATTTGCTACACAATGAAGAAGGCTACATAGTAAACAGATAAAAACAATGTTATTTTGTTTATTTTCAGAAAAATCCTTTTCAAATATTCCTTCAAAACAGACTTCAATGAAAAACACATTTTTAAAAAAATATCGAAGTACTTTTTTCTAAAAATATTGCCTGAAAAATAAAATGCTTTACATGTAATTCTCATGAAAATAATGTTCTAAGTATAATAATATTATTTTCTTCTTCAGTCATATATATTATATATACTTCCAAGAAAGAAGAAAAGAAAATATTTTTTATATTTCTCATTTTGACAAATTTTTGACATTCAATATAAGTTTTGTTTGAATCACATAATACATGCAGACTTTACAGTATTTGCAAAATATTTAAATTTTAAATAGAAGTTTTAAAAATGTCTAATTAGGGTTTGAGAAGTGGCAATATTTAGACAATATATCTTTCAGTCTCAATACAGAATTGATAAGGAGAATAATTTAGAAATAAATTATATCAGATTTGATTAATTCATGAAAAATGTGTTTTAATTTTTGTTTATATAAAATTAAACATATTTAAATTTGTCAAACATAAGGGAAGAAGCGAATGAAGGGGGAGGGGCTTTAAAAACTATATAAAATAAGTATTTTTCGTTTTTGTTATTGTTATTGTGTCCCTGTGGCAAAGTTGTTGTGGATATTCTCCTGATATTCTTACATCTCCATTCATTATTAATCACTTTGTTTTCACCTCTCTCATCAAACTTAATAAATTATCACTCCGTAGAGTTTTGTTTTTACTGTTTACACTCTCCGTAGAGTTTTGTTTAGTTTGAGTGTGGTTTATATAACGGGCGCCTGTACAATGCGGAAGCAAAGCTACTACTGAAGTATTGAATCCCGGTCTTTCAGAGTATGCGCAATCAAAGCTATCTTAGAGTAGTGGAGATCTACGCAGTATCTCGGAGAAAGGAGTCTACGCAGCAGCTCCCAGGAGCTCGGAGATACACGGTATGAAATTGAACCTGTGAGATAATTGGAAGCATCAACGGAGGGGGAAATTGGGGAATGGGATGAGGGGGGGGGCGGACGGGAATTGAGGGTTGATTGTGAAAAGTTTAGTCATAGCAGTAGGATAGGGGGGTGGGGATGGAAAAGATTTATAAAAACATCATGAACACATGAACTGATTTACGACGAAAAATGTAACAAAAATTTAAATTAAACAAATTTAATGTTGATTGTCAGTTGAAAGGAATTGAGTCTTTGCCACAAACTCTAATTTTCTTGGATATACAGGATGGTTTTGATATACAGGATGGTTTGGATATACAGGATGGTTGGATATACAGGGTGGTTGGATAAACATGAGGGGTGATTTTTCAATATGTATCTCTATCTATCAATCAAAAGATACCAATAGGACTAAAGAGTACCCCTGGCATCAGACTTAATTCTAGGAATCAAGATGGTGAACCGTTCATTCATCTCGATATATTTTAATTCTTCTACATATGTAGTACACGCATCACGCTCTTTCAAGGGGCCCTGCTTTAGAACCAATTTTTAACCACTAAATGTGAATTATCGAATTTCTTTCTTGTTTTCTTTTTTGTTTTATAAAATATGCTAATTTGTCTATTAACTTCAGACTAATAATGGACAGGTTAAACTAAGATTGAGTTAATTGCAGGACATAACAAACTGTGTTAGTTCAGCGTAACATGTTGTACAGACCTCTTTATATGTGTATATAATTACAGGTCGGTTAACTCAAAGAATACGAAATACAAAACGAATCAAATTCTCCCAAACTAGATTTAACGGATATTATTACATAATTTTAAAAAGAACCGTATGAGAGGCTCTGCATTTTTTTATTCCAGGAAAACTTTAAACTACTTTAAAAATGTTTCCAAACCAAACAAACCTAGGGCTAGGCAACGTTCCGTTAAAGGGAGTGTTCGCGAAAAATGAAAGGGGGATAGGCTTACGGCGATAAATAATTGCTTCTTATAAAAAATTACTTCTGCTGTGTCTATATGGAGAAAATTGTTAAAAACATTTTAATTATGATATTAAACCAGAGGAGGCCGAATTTAAAGAATTTGAGCCGCACCTTAAATTTGATACGCGGCTCAAATATGGTTGGTTCTACTGAAAATTGTATTCAATGTTTCAAGATCTAAGCCGGCGCTCAATTGAAATCGGTTTTCGGTGGATTTGAGACGCGGATAAAATTCATTAAATTTGGACTCAGATAAGCTAGCTTGCCCTCAAGCCTGTGTGTAAATTCCAAACTAAAGGATCAGCGAGATCAAGAAATGGGTTTACTTTTGTTAGTTATGTACTTTAAAATATAAATGATGTTTTAAGCATAAAAATGTAATTTTTCTGTATTTATTTTAATGAATAATAGAGAGGTTAAGAATATAATAGAATAGATATATCTAATTTAGAATTCTATAGTTCCTGGGTAAGGGGGGGGAGGGGGGTAAAGTAGTGTGTGGATGGGGGGGAGGGGGGTGGTATGATCCTGAGGGATTAAGGAATTAATTACTGCCTAGTCTCTCTTTGTAATTTACATATAGAGAGGTTTCGTGAGAAATATTTAATAACAGATGAAAATGGAATTTAAAATACACTTTGTTTTTGTTCATCTTTTAATTGTTTCAGAACTGATGAATATTTTTATTGAAATATATATCTTGAACTGACTGCCTGTACTTTATTGTTTCAGAACTGATGAATATTTTAATTGAAATTTATATCTTGAACTGAATGTCTGGGCTTTATTGTTTCAGAACTGATGAATATTTTTATTGAAATATATATCTTGAACTGAATGTCTGTACTTTATTGTTTCAGAACTGATGAATATTTTTATTGAAATATATATCTTGAACTGACTGTCTGTACTTTATTAAAAAGTTTAGTTGAGATTGCTTTATACCTGTTTTATTTGAAAATAATCAGTTTTCAAAATAATAAACATAAATAAATAATTAATATAATATAATATATGGAGGGTCACTTGAAATTACGTTTCCAGTCGCTTCAAGTATTCTGGTGTTTAGATATTTTACAGTACACAAATCTTTAAAATATTTAGCTCAATCCAACTATGTGCTCATAATTCTTGGAAACCTTTATTGTATCTTTATATATTTAATCAACCATTTATTATTTTTTTATACTTATCCATTTTTTATATTTAATCCAATTATGTGCATATAATACATGGAAACCTTTTTTTGTATCTTAATATCTTTAATCAACCATTTATTATTTTTTTCTAGAAATAATTATCTAGATGTTTTTATCTTCTGATTGTAAGAAACTTAGTTGATTGTGCAAAGAGTGTGCTAGTATCGTTGATGACTGGAATTCATTTTTTGCGAAAATATCTTCACAGGATGGTTTTAGATATAATTTTCATTTAATATGTTACAGTTTTGAACATTGGTCTATACCACACCGGACTAACCAGAGTGAGCAGTATTCGGTTTCCTTTATTTAAAATCAAACGTGTTTTGGTCATTAATTCAATAATTATTTACTTAACGGATTTGTTTATTTTATACATTTTCATTCAAAATGCATATGCCAACAAAAAAGTATTTAATAAATAATGTCAAATTGTGATCGAAAGTCACAGCTTTCTGGAATATTGACAGAACCGTTTAATCCATGTGATACCGGACAAATAAAAACTGCCAATCCAGGGAAAGGAATAGGTAAATTTATACGAAATTTATTCTATCTATTACATAGTTCGCCTTTTTAACAACTTTCTATTTATTTGAATTAATTCTTTTAATAGCTTACGTTTGATAACAGATTTCGGATAACAGGGTTTCCGATGAAAAGGGGTCTCCGCCATTACTCTAATGATGATGAATGCATCCCTGACTGAAGTTTAATCTATAGTCTATATCTAATCTAATCTAATCTAATTTACGAGATATAACAAAACTGTTAAATTTGAATCCACGATTATTAACAATATAGCTCAAGTGTCTAGAGTGTACTTGCGAATAGGACAGATTAAACATACTAATCCTTAAATCCGTGCACTCCCCCATTTTGTTTACTCTACCCTGAGCGTCCCCTCCCCTTCCTTGTGTAACAAAATTATTAAAACCAATATTGAAGATTCGACAAATAGCCAACAACTTATGTTCCTTAAAAATATATGTTAAAGATGATTTAAAGAGTTTTATTTAAAGGTATTCTATCCCGTAGTTTTTGTTTTTAATTCATTATTTTATTAGGTTTGGTCATCAACTTTGCCAAATCTTTTTTTTGAGAGCTAAACGAATTGAGTTTTTGCCACAAACTCTGATTTTGCAACCCAATGTTGTTGACCTTCTAGAAATCATAAAATATTAATTCTGTTGGATCAAATAATCCAAACTTAAATATCGAAGGTTTACGCCAATCAGGCCGGTTGCAAAGATATAGAGATTAGCAAAATTGAGTTTTGACATAAAATCAATTCCTTTCGCAACATCATGTAATCAAAAAATTATTTACGTCACATTCACATTCATTAAACGTCTTCGTCTTCGTGAGTAGAAAGGTTAGGTTTCGCTAATGATCTTTAGATGGTTAAAAATATATCATTAATCCTAATATTATCTTTTTCGTGAACAAACCCATATATGTTTATTTTGTGTACTTAAAACGCTTAAAACATACATTCTTTACAGGGATCTTTAAAGGGACTGTATTTAACCCTTCGTCTAAACAAAAATTATAAATATATTCTTTTGTTTTGCAAGTTTTGTAATCTCGATCTAGAATGCATGGTTTCATGGATTAATTTTTGAAAATTGTATGTCCGGGTGTCCTTGATTTGCTGTTTTGTAGATTCCGTTTTTTGTTCCTTCTATTGTTTCTATATTTTATTTATTGTTTTTATTATTTATAATTTCCATTGATGTATTCTCTGTGACAAGTGACTTTCATATAAACACAGCGACGAAGAAGAAAATAAAAGAAATTCAACACTTTTTGAGACAAAAAATAAGATATAGCTTTGTGAGCCGATCAAAAGGAATATTGCTCAAAGCGGGATGAACTGAAGCAGAGGATATGTAACTCGAAGAATGACAAATCCAAAGGCAAATAGGCTAGGGAAACACTCTTTTCTACCAGACACACATAGATGAGAACTTCTTGAAAATGTATATTTCAGTAACGAGGTTTCCTACAAAATACAAATTGTTATTGGCGTACATGCATTTAAATAATAATTGTTAATAAAGATTAAACAGTTGAAGGTTTTTATCAATAAATGAGTATTGGAATTCTAGGTTTTGTAGGTTTAGCAGGATTGGAGTTGTTTGAACTGAAGTCTAAAGCAATTTAATTCTTCTGAAAATAAATATTCGTCTGGTTAAATAAGTTCACTGTTTGATTGCAAATGATTCACTGAAATTTTTTTTTAATTGGTTTTTTTTAATGCACTTAAAGTTTTATTAGCTCCATGAGGTTATTGTTTATGTTTATGCAAAATCCTAGCAATGTTTGGTTAGGTGGGTGGACGGAGGGTTCCACGGAGATACAGTTTGTCGGAGACGACCTTACAACAGGGGAAATTTGAGGGATATGGTTCACAAGCTTAATGTTGTTCAGATGGTTTAGATAAATTTACATTTTACATACATACAGTATACACAACATGTATATACAGGATGGTTTCGATATACAGGATGGTTTGGATATACAGGATGGTTTGGATATACAGGATGGTTGGATATACAGGATGGTTTCGATATACAGGATGGTTGTATATATAGGATGGTTGGATATACAGGATGGTTGGATATACAGGATGGTTTCGATATACAGGATGGTTGTATATATAG